TTAATTAAAAAATATTATTATACTTGATTATTACACTGGATTAGAAATATATTATATTTTAAATTATTTTTATTTATTGTTATCTTAAAAAACAGATTCAGAAAAAAAAACAAAAAAAATGTATGCGATTTCTTCAGAATAGAAATAAGAATAAAAAGAAAAAAGGAATAAATTAAAATATAAAAGTTATTTTGTTAATATATGCATAACTATGTTTGTTGGACTCTGTAAATGAAATTGAGAAGCCTAGTCCAATTATCGCATAAGAAAATTTATGGGGCGCTGCCGGTACTAAGAATAGAATCGCATTGTAAAGCTGCCAAGACGTATATAGAGTGAGCATTCAGTTATCGCACTGCCTCTCGTATTACCATTCTTATATAATTATTTTTACTGTCATAATTAGAAAAATGAAACTGTAGTATTTGGGAATATATATATTTTATTTTACTAGCAAAATAAATATTTTCTATATGAAATAAAAGTTCCATCTTTTATTTTTCTGTATAAAAGTTTCATATGTGTAATGTGTTTATTTTTATTTTTATTTAATTTTAAATCTATCGTGTATATTAAAGAGGAAAGATACTTGAACTGAACGAGAAAATGATATTGTATGTATTTGCAATTCCACGATGACTTATTATTATAGAGTTGTGGTATATATGAAAGTATACACTTATTTGTTATGTGCAAATATTTTTAATTTTAAAGTTTCAGAGAAGAAGTGATGAATATGCAAAAACATGCATATTCATTTACAGTTCATGATGGAACTAGTAATATCAGAATTTCAAGCGGCTTGTTAAAAAATCTGACGAAGATCACTGATGCTGCACTTTATTGTCACTAATATATAATATCAATGGCAGCTAGTCACTCAGTATATATCGGTCCTGGTACAACGCGTAATCCATCTTTGTTGAATGCACTTATTTATTCGTAGTTTGATGAATTTCTGCATATTGATCACATAGATATAAACTTGGTCCTTCGTAATTCTTTTCGTAATTCGATTCGGTAGATCATGCGCGATTCTCAAACAGTCCATAGATGACGTTGACAAGGCACATTTCTCGATGCGTACTTACCATTGTCTATAGATCGATTTCTAAGAGATGGACAATACGAGATGGTCACGATGTACCAACTGTCCGAATCAAAGAGCCGAACTTGTCTAAGTAACTTCTGCGGATCTCCCCCACCAGCGAACCGTAGGTTGTCCAAGTCGAAGTATCCTGCCCCGGGTATAGCGTCTATCTGACCATATTTAGTGCGAGTCGCCTCAAAATAGCGACCCTTTCGACGTTTCAAATAAAACAGTTTGCCAGGGAGTTAAAACTCTGACGGTTCTCGTACCAACGGACATCTCAGCGCTAAGATACCGATTTCTTGACCGATGTGAGTCAATCGAGTTAAGCGAGTCAAGCGCTCGTAAATAATTATATTTTGAACAAGTATAATTATCGAAAATTATCGAAAAACGATTTTTTCTTTACATAACACTATGAAACGGAATAAAATATTAATTGATTTATCTTATCATTATATCTACTTAATTTATTAATGATGATTTTTCAAAAAGCCGTCCACGGAGTGTTACTACACATACTATTATCATAATTGAGTTTTCGATTTAAAGCAGGATGTCTCAAACACGTGGACATTATAAATAACTAACTGTCCGATGTATTCAAGAATGTATATATGTTTTTGCAAATATGTATGTTACATATATATGCAGGGTGTAATGTCCTGCAATTTTTGGCAAAATGCTGTCATGTAGATAGAACTAAACTGAATCGAAAAGTCCTCTACCATTTTGCAATTTTTGCAATGATTAACGAGATATTAATTTATGAAAATAGCCAAATTCGCCCGGTCTATCGCCAAATGCAAACGCGCGAAATAAGATCACCCAGAGAGTGCACGTTCTAATGACGAAGAACATTTGGCGGTAGGCCGAGCGAATTTGACCTACCGCTTTAATTTATTATAGACCGTATTACTTACGGATATTGAAAGAAATGATATTGTTATGTTACTTTTATGAAAAACAAAATGAAATCAGCCTTCAACAAATTTTTTTAATATTTAAAAATTTTTAACATTATATATATAGATTTTCTTAAACAAAATATCTCTCAAAAACTTTTTTTTTTACTATTATTTAAAAAAAATATATACACTTAACACTTCTTTAATTATATATTTTTAATAATAATTAATAATTGTGCACGCGTGCACGTGCGTACGAATATACATAATAAAACTCGATGATTAAAAATATTAAGTTACTAATATATTCATTTATTAAACAATTTTTCTAGTTCTTCTTTTGCAGTTTTCTCTTCTTGTTAAGGGGATCCTAAAAATAGTTAGTTATTTACACGTGTCATTGACACGTTATTACAAACTATTGCATCAATATCTCATGCACAAGTATACATACATAAACTGTTGTATAACAATGATGTTTTATTACATCTAAAGCCAATTCTAAGAACTCCACATTAATAAGATCGGAAATAAGAATTCCGTTTATGTGAGTATCACCTAAATACGAGAAACACCACTTGACGATCAAAGTTAGATATTGAACTAATTAATACATATACGTGTATTCTTCTAAATAAATTTATCTTATTTTTGCGAGTGTTGTGTCATTCTACATGTCGATAGCATCGCAGGTTTGTGAATCCGTCCGTCATCGATCGGAAGACAGAAGAGAATCCCTGCCCAAACGAGTTACTCATGTTCTTTGATTTTGAACCTTGACGTGATAAAATAAATCACACATTTTCATTTAGTAAAGCTGTATGTTTTCATTCCGAGAGCATTTCGCGGATGTGAAGCAAGTATGATGTAAGAAGACAAGGTATACCATTTTCGAGGATGCGCAGTAGGAGAGTAAAGTAAAATTTGATTCTTATATCACGCAAGTACGTCGTGCGTGATTCTCCTTGCGCGAGTAACATTATGGATTTATTTTATAAATTTATCTAATTTATTTATAGATCCGGGTTCAACTCCCGGCCGAGGTAATATTTTTCGGAATACGTTCGTTATAGATTTTTAAGATGTATGTAATTAAATTTGGGGGGATTATAATATCTCAGATGAATTACGTTGAAAAATCCGGCAATAATGGCATACAATCATATTTCTGAGATAAATTCATTTAGAAGATTATGCGTACAATACATATTAATTAATAGTACAATGTCTAACTTTAATGGTCAAGTGGCACTTGTATTTAGGTGATGAATTCCATATTGTTTCTTCATGCAAATACTACTATAGTCAGTGGATTACTATTTCGTAAGTACAGATTGCGTAGCTTTTATATGAAGCAAATGTGTGTCACAACGTGCTGTAGAGCGCAATTTTAGAATAAAAAAGTAAAGATTCAATTTCGAAATTTTGTATATTGTTTTCAGTATGAATTCTATCTCACGTATTAATGCGTATACTTCAATCCTGGTAAAGAATTTTTGAAACTGTATAAGAAAAAAAGTAATTGTTATATAAAAAATTATATAATTTAATCAATAATACAGATGAGTTTAGGATTCTCTGTGTTTCTCATTTCTCATTCATTTATTATTTTGTTATGAGATTATTGAAAAGTAATAATCTCAAAATACAATAGATATTGTGAAAACATCTTAAAACAGTATTTCAAAGACATCATAAATTGAACACTTTAAAATTGGATATTCAATAACATGTTTCGCAAGATATTTTCGAAATGCTACATTTTAAATATTGTATATCATAATGCTCATTTTAAATATTGTATATCATAATCTTCTTTAAGATAGCCATAATACAAACAGCTTAAGCATAAAGCACAAGCCTTAATAATAATACGTAGGAAGGGAAAAAAATGAGCATTATCGAATTCTTTTTAATAAAAACAAAGCTTCAATAATATTTATTACATGAGCACAATTGCCCAAGATATTGTATGATACCGTAAATGAAAGAAAAAGAGATATAGCGGTTATATTTTTCTTCTTTATTTATTCCAGCTTACTCACTAAAAGCATTGTCAGCATAAAATGTATTTAGTGAATTCAACAGGTATTAATTGTGTATATATTCTAGTTTTCTATATATATATTTCAGTTTTTCTAAGAATTATTATACATGAAAATATTTAAATACAAATCATAATATAAATGCACTAATTGGTCAAAAATCCAATATGCATTCCACTAAAAGTGTGATACCAACATTAATATATTTTATTATTTTACTATATTATATTTATTTTAAAAATATTTATATCGAATTTTTTCTTGATAAATGTATAGTAATCTTTAGTAAGTACAAATGTCCAAATTCGCTATATATTATATTTATATATTATATCTACTCAACATCTAACGATGACATATTGATTATATATAGAATTGACCTAAAAATTGGGACTAAATTTATAAGTCAATAATCTCCACGAGTTCACAATATGGATGTTTAATTATATCTGCAATATATAAAACTTAAATCTTGAATACATTTATGTCATAAAAATTATGTGAAAATCTATATATTATATGATTATGCATTGCAAATATAAAATTCACACACAAATTGGGATGTGAAAAATATCTTAAAATTACATTTAATTTCGTAAGGGAGGTCCCATATAGTCTAGACTCGTAGAGTAAAAGTCTGGCAGATTCTCTACAACTGATAATTGCACTTCTTCGATTATATCTATCGATTCTGTATATAATTTAGACTTGACTGTCTTGAAGAATGTACACGGTCTTGTTCCTTTGCCAAACTCATCGACGTCGTATGGTGGACTGAGTATGTCTAGGAAAGCTGCAGGACCTTCCACGCATGAAATTTCATGAAGATTTTTTTCTATTGGTGTAAAAATGCAAGCAGGCGAATTACTATGAAGACAGATAGGCCGATGCTTAACTGCCGCAATCTCCTCCTTGGCTTTAATCACATGATTACTCTTTGTCTTCAAACTGTAGCTGCTTAATTCTACCATACCACTGATCACCTATATTATAATATCTGTATTATAATTCGTATATGTTATTGTCGTATGAGGAGCAGACTTTCAAAATGTGTTTTGTCCAAAATTTATAATTTTCAGAAAACGAAAAAAAAAATCACAATGAAACCATGCGAAATCTTATAGAAAATATCAATTTACCAATTAGTAAGATGTAAAATGTAGATCAAGCTAATATAGATGTAAGATGAATATTAATCTTAATAAAATGTTTAATTAAACAACAAAATATGTGTCCATATTAAGTTAAAATTTGATGTCATAACGAACGTTAACGATAAATGAGGCAGCGTTCCAACTAATGTACTATATATTAATTACAGAAATTGTAAGTTTGAATCATAAAATATCAAGATTACAATTGTTATTGAAAAATTGATGTAAATAAACAAATGTAAGAATCATCTAAATATTTGTCCTTTTGTAAATTTATACTACATAACTGTTTTTTATATATGTTCATGAGATTATTTTAGCTGCGATCAAATTCAGAATATTGTAAATGTGTTCAATAATCGCCTATAATATTTATATTTAAAATAGAAAACAACTATAATTTAAGCTTTTTAAATATCTTTAAGGATGGTACAATATTTGTAAATTAGTAAAAGATCTTTTCGCGAAGATGTTTGTCATTCGAAGATTTTTTTCATTCGTTAGATCATAAAATTGGAATTACATAGAATATACAATCTTGTTGATAGAGTAATTTTATTGTCCTGTTTTTCAGAAGAATATTGAATATTTATCAAATTGCTTTTAGAAAATTACTATCCATTAAAATTAATTTTTAGAGAAGTAGTCTTTAGATTAAAAAAACTATCTAGTAGTAAAATTTAGTAGTAAATTCTAATCACAAAAAATATTTTATATCTCCGTTTATATATTATATAATACTGTTGTAAAATGGGTGAACAAATCTTTGTTTAAGGTAGGCTACAATGTTTGAATCAATTCAATAAGTTCATAATAAATATAGACATAAAAATATATACAGAAATATATAATAATATATATAAAGTTGAATCTAAATGTAACGTGAGTCTATAAGATCAATTATAACGAGTGTAATGCGTGTTATGTTGGTCGTAAGAAAAAAAAAATTAAATGAAAAGATAACTAAGTACGAGAATTATAAAGCATACTTTGAACCTT